AAAAAAAACAAAAACAAAAAACAAAGAGAAGGAAGGCAGGAAGGAGGCAAGGAAGGGCCCGAGGTCGGAGGGCGAAGCGAAGAACGCGCGATTATGTCAAGGAACGGTTCGCGGGAGGTAAAAAGTTGCACGGGAGGGAGGGGGGAAGGAGGAGGGAGGGAGGGAGGGAGGTGAAGGAGGGAGGGGAGGGAGGGAGGGAGGGAGAAGGGATGGGAGAGGAGAGGGAGGAGGGGGAAGGGGAGGGGGGAGGGAGAAGGGAGGGAGGGGGAGGTGAATGAGTGGGAGGAGAGAGGGAGGGAGGGAAGGGGGAGGTGAAGGAGGAAGGAGGGGAGGGGAAGGGGGAGGTGAAGGAGAAGGAGGAAGGAGGAAAGGGGGAGGTGAAGGAGAAGGAGGAAGAGGGAGGAGGGAAGGAGAAAGGGAGGGAGGGAGGGAAGGAAAACAGAAAGGAGGGGTGAGAGGGGGTAACGGGAGGGGGATGAGATGATTGCAGGGGAAGGAGTGGGAGGGGGGGAGGGAAGGGGAGAGGTTGACGGGGATAACGGGAGTGAGATTGCAAGGAGGGAGGCGCTGGGAGGGGGGGACGGGGATGGGTGAGAGGAGAGGGAGAGGGGATGGTAGGGGAGAGGAGTGGTAGGCAGGGGAAGGGGAAGGGGGATAGAGGGGGAGGGAGGAGGAGAAGAGTGGCTGGAGGGGAGGGGGGAAGGGGGGGGAAAGGGACAGATTCAGGGCTAGGGAAGGGGAAGGAGGGAGAGGAAGGGAGGAGAGGCAGGGGAAGAAAGGTGAGGGAGGAGGAGGCAGGGGGAGGAGGGAGAGATGGGAAAGGAGGGGGAGACAGGATTGCAGGAGAGAGGGGTGGTAGGAGGGGGAGGGGAGGAGAGGGGAAGGAGGGGGAGGGAGGAGGGAAGGAGGGGGAGAAGGGAAACTGGGAGAGCATAGGGGAGGGGGTAGTAGGGGGTATTGGGGAAGAGATAGAGATGTTGGGGGGTAGAGAAAGAGGGGAGAAGGAGAAGAAAGGAGAGAAGGAATGGGGGTGATAATGGAGGAAGAGGGGAAAAAGGGATAGTGAGGGGAGGAAAGAACCGAGAGGGAAGGAAGGAAGGAAGGAAGGAGGGAGAGAAGGGAGGAAGGAAGGAAGGAAGGGAGAAAAGAAAAGAAAGCAGAGAAGGAAGGAAGGAAGGAAAGAAAGAAGGAAAGGGGGAAGAATAAAGGAAGGAAGGAAGAAAGGAGGGAAGGAAGAAAATAAGGATGGAAAGAAGGAAGAAAGGAAGGAAGAAAGGAGGGAAGGAAGTAAAGAAGGGAGGGAAGAAGGGAGGAGAAAAGGAACGAAGGAAAGAAAGAAGGAAGGAAGGAGGGAGGAGGGAGGGAAGGAAGGAAGACACGAAAGAAAGAAGTAAGGAGGGAGGGAAGGAAAACAGAAAGGAGGGGTGAGAGGGGGTAACGGGAGGGGGATGAGATGATTGCAGGGGAAGGCGTGGGAGGGGGGGAGGGAAGGGGAGAGGTTGACGGGGATAACGGAGTGAGATTGCAAGGAGGGAGGCGCTGGGAGGGGGGGGGAGGGAAGGGGGAGGTGAAGGAGGGAGGGAGGGGGAGGTGAAGGAGGGAGGGAGGAGGGAGGGAGGGGGAGGTGAAGGGGGAGGATAGGGAGGGGAGGGAGGAGGGAAGGAGAAAGGGAGGGGAGGGAGGAGGGAGGGAGGGAGGGGGGGAAAGGGACAGATCCAGGGCAGGGAAGGGGAAGGAGGGAGAGGAAGGGAGGAGAGGCAGGGGAAGAAAGGTGGGGGAGGAGGAGGCAGGGGGAGGAGGGAGAGATGGGAAAGGAGGGGGAGACAGGATTGCAGGAGAGAGGGGTGGTAGGAGGGGGGAGGAGGGAGGGAGGAGGAGGCAGGGGGAGGAGGGAGAGATGGGAAAGGAGGGGGAGAGGGGGTAACGGGAGGGGGATGAGATGATTGCAGGGGAAGGCGTGGGAGGGGGGGAGGGAGGAGGGAGGGAGGGAAGGGGGAGGTGAAGGAGGGAGGAGGGGAGGTGAAGGAGGGAGGGAGGGAGGGAGGGAGGGAGGGGGAGGTGAAGGAGGGAGGAGGGAGGGAGGGGGAAGGAGGGGGAGAAGGGAAACTGGGAGAGCATAGGGGAGGGGGTAGTAGGGGTATTGGGGAAGAGATAGAGATGTTGGGGGGTAGAGAAAGAGGGGAGAAGGAGAAGAAAGGAGAGAAGGAATGGGGGGTGATAATGGAGGAAGAGGGAAAAAGGGATAGTGGAGGGAGGAAAGAACCGAGAGGGAAGGAAGGAAGGAAGGAAGGAGGGAGAGAAGGGAGGAAGGAAGGAAGGAAGGGAGAAAAGAAAAGAAGAAGGTAAGAAGGAAAGAAAGAAGGAAAGGGGGAAGAATAAAGGAAGGAAGGAAGAAAGGAGGGAAGGAAGAAAATAAGGATGGAAAGAAGGAAGAAAAGAAGGAAGAAAGGAGGGAAGGAAGTAAAGAAGGGAGGGAAGAAGGGAGGAGAAAAGGAACGAAGGAAAGAAAGAAGGAAGGAAGGAGGGTGGAGAGAGGGAAGGAAGGAAGACACGAAAGAAAGAAATAAGGAGGGAGGGAAGAAAGGAAGGATAGAAGGAAGGAAGGAAGGAAGGGAGGGCAGGATGGGAGGCAGGAGGCAATGGGGGAGCAGGGAGGGAAGGGTACGAGATAGGGGGGGGGGGCATGGGTTCCCTGGTAGGGGGGTGGGGTCAGGGTAGAATGAAAAGGGACCAGGGGGAGGAGCCACGGGGGAGGGGGAGGGGAAAGGAGGGGGGAGGGAGGGAGGAGGGGAGGTGAAGGAGGGAGGAGGGTGGAGCCAAAGGGGGGGGAGGGGAGAGGGAGGAGAGGCTGTGTGTAAGCGCTGAAAATCCACGTCATCAACATCATGAGCACGTGCGTTTGTGTGCGTGCGGGTGTGCGTCTGCGTGTGCGTGTGCATCTATGTTAGTGTATAACTAAGTATATATGTTTTTTCTTACACTTCTCTGCATGTGTCAGTGAGCATATTAATGATTATCTGGATGCCCGTCTGTGTTTATATGCATGCGTGTGCGTGCGTACATGAGCGTGTAAGTTTGTGAAGAGAGGCTCCACCATGACTAGTCGATCAGGTATGGCAGGTTCCCTCCGCATAACAGCTTCATGTACGTCTCACTTTCTCTTCAAGTGTCTATCGGTGAGGGTGACCATTGATCAGCTGACTCATTTGTTCCTGATTCTGTTTCTTTCTTTGTCTGTCTGCCTGTCTGTGTTTCTGTTTCTGTCTCGGTCTCCCTCTCTCTCTTTCTCTCCCTCTCCCCTCACTCTCTTTCCCTCTCTCTCTCTCTCATGCATGTATTCATATATGTATGCATGGATAGGTGAATGGATGGATGGATGGATGGATGGATAAATAGATAGATAGATAGATAGATAGATGGATGGATGGATGGGCGGATAGAGGCAGACTTATGTATGTATGCATACAAGTATGAATGAATCAATGAATGAATGCACAGTATGTATGTATATATGCATGCCTGTACGAATACATGCATGTATGCGCATCCATATGTTTGCACACACGGGTTCAAGTATTTGCTTTTATATGCGGTGGTTGGCTTATAAGTGAATACATTTTGAAAATAAATCCAGGCAAACATATAAATACATACTAGATTCTCTCCGCGTGCGTGTGTACGTAAATACCCGCACACACGCACGCGCACACACACACACACATGCCTCACTTTCTCTCAATCTGTTAGACACCCTCTCCTTCTCTCTCTCCTTCCTCCTTCCATTCCTTCTTTCATCTTCCTTACATCCAGAATCCGCAACAGCCAATCAGAATGCAGCTAGCCTAGGCCCCAAGGAGACACTCATTCTGCGGGTTTTCTTAATTCATTCTGTTCTGAGACGCCAGGCCGCCTCCCTTCTGCAGGAGGTGGAGAGCGAATGTGTTACAAGGCCGTGCGCGTCGGGTCGTCTCTCTGTGCGGTCGAGGTAGCTGTGTCACAGGGACCATGGCCGCAGCATCGAGCGCCCGGTGGGAGAGGCGGGCCGTGGTCTGTGTGTGTGAGTGTGTGTGTGTGTGGGGGGGGGGGGGGGGTTGTGAGTGGGTGTATGTGTGGGTATGCGTTTGTGTTTGTGTAGATATGTATGCGTTGCACATCAATTCATATAAATACATAATAATACACACATGTACACGTATACACGCACAAACATACACATACACACATAGACACACACAATTTCCTCCAAGCGTTTCAACACCCGCGTGTCCACAAGGGGACGACCCTGGCCGCTTAAATAACGACAGCCGTCACATTATGCCTCCAGCTTTCTAACTGGAGCACCAGGGAGATGGTCGTTTCCCGGTAATGCGTCCGCGAGATGTGACTGGACGACCAGCACGACTAGCACGACCTCCTACTTCAAGGACGCATCCGTGGGTGATATTACGTCTGAAATAAGCTTTTTGTTCCGCTAATTGGGTACAAATTCGTGCCTCGGCGACGCGTCGTGTAGCGTGGGAACGTGACGAGGAGCGGGGAGGGGGTCCAGTATCTTGCTTTGGATAGCGGATGGCAGTCCTCGGGCGGAGAAGGGGGGGGGTAGGGAGGAGCGACCACTGCCTTGGTACTGATAGTTTTGTCCTGCGCCCGGGGAGGGGGATAGAGGAGCGTGTCCGTTATCCTGGTGCGGATAGCAGTGTCCTGGGGGCGGGGAAGGGGAGAGGGGAGAGGGGAGAGCGTCCACTATCTGGCCGCAGATAGCAGTGTCCGCCGTGAGCGAGTGTCGCCTGGTGCTCCCTCGGTCTCCCTCGCCCACCGCCGCCGCGAAGGACGCTCCGCCACACCTCTCCCGGGCGACCAGTCGGCAGTAGTCTCACGCCAGCGCGATATTCCGCAGCCTTGCTCCCTCCTGAAGCCGTACGGAGCCGCCCCTCGGTGACTGGTGCGCTGTTTTCTTTCGCTCCGTTACAAGGAAGGAAGGAGGAGAGGAGTGAGGGGCC